CCACCACCGTCGCCGTCGTCGCTGCCGCCTCCTCTCTCTTCCCGTATCCCAATTTATCCACACAGCGTGACCGAGGAAGTCGCATCTCGCGCCGTACCCGACTTTAGTTCACAGCCGAACGTCTCTCGGTACCGAGCGTCATCGGTCACCGAGTGACCCGATCACGGAAGGGGGTAGGGGTGTCTACAGGGGTGTCGTGGAAACGCGTCGCGACGCATGAAATTCCGATGACCGCTAATTCTCTTCGTTATTGTTATTAGGGAGCCTGTCTGGCCGAATCGAACCCGTCTCGGGGATCGAGTGCCAATAAAGGAAAAAGAAGATTAGGTAGTTTGTCTTCGAGGCATCAAAGGGAAACACCGTGTGCCTTTCGATCGGTGAACACTCCAAGTACAGGGTGTTTCCGATATATACACATCAGTAAATTGGGTTGCCTTTCGACAGGGGCATGCTCATCCGCAGGGATCTGCTTATCGGCATGGTAATGCAGAATAAGATTAGATCGCAAAAGACAAGAGAAATTGAATTTTACATTCTGATATAGTGTAAAATTCAATAATATAATATAAAGTATGTATTTAATAATACAAATAATATCTGACTTAAGAAGATTGTAAGGGTATAAAACACATATATCAATATTTATACTTTATACAAACTATATGCATATGAAAGTTGTGTTTATAATATTCTGTTTTATTGAGCAACACATTTTTATAGATTATTTATTGTATTTGTTATTATTTTTATTATTGTTAAGCAAAAATTTGAAAAATGATAACGAAAATCTAAATTTTTTTGTATAAGTACTTTAAGCATTAAAAATAATTTATGCAAAGTTTCATTGAGATTCCAATTAGTTTATAACAAATAAATATTTTGTTTATTTACTGAACAATTAATATCTCACAATGTAACTATACATAAATAATCTTGAACTCATAAAGTACTTATATAAAAAAATTGAAACTTTTATCATAATGACAACTAAAAGGTATATATAGCAATCAATGAACGCATAGCGTCACTTTCGTATGACAGTTACATGTTAAACATTTATTATATAAGCATTTCAAGACAAAAATATTTTTTGTTCAAATATGTTTATTAAATTTTAGGTTAGATTAGGTCAGGTATTATTACTTAATTAGTAAATATATATTTTATATCATATTATTGAATTTTACACTGTATCAAAATGTAAAATTCAATTTCTCTTGTCTTTTGCGATCTAATCTTCATTACCATGCCGATAAGCAGATCCCTGCGGATGAGCATGCCCCTGCCGAAAGGCAACTCAACTTACTGATGTGTATGTTTCGGAAGCACCATGTACATGCCCGAAATGCAACGAGCGACGTAGCCACGAAAGTCCTTTACGTAGGATTATTTAAAGGGTTGCTTTTGCGAAAATCTCGCTACGCTAAAAATTAGTGAAGCTTGACTGACGGGATTTCTCCTGGCTCTTCCTGTACGAAACTCGACATTAACATTTGCCGTATCCAAGAAACATTACTGCACATAAAAGATTTTGCTGAAGTATCTAAAAAAAAAAATATCTAAAAATTATTTAGTAAAAATAATTTTATTCGACATCAAAATAATTATGTAGGACGCTCAAACTTTTTGTTAGAATCTTAAAACTTTTTGCGACATCGGTTATTGTGCTCGAGATTCTTACGTAATTATTTTGATGGTCCAACAAAATTATTTTCAGATCTGTGTCTACCTAAATTTTTAGACATTTCCAGCAAACTCTTTTCTCCTGTGAGCAAAGTCTCTAATCCATCCTTTTGTTGTACATGTACTATTAAATTCATAATGTCAAATTATACCCAATTTGATTTTTAATTATTTCTATAGATCTGCTCCTATTTAGTATGTCATTAACTTAATTAAAATAATGAAATTAAACATTTTAATTCAAGAAAATGTATTAAATTTGACTCAAATCATATTTAGTTTATTATTTACTAAGTGCATAACGTTAATATGGATGTTGTTTACTTTAAAAATAATTACAGAAATGGATTTATATTTTGACATGGAAGATAAAAATAATAAAACGTTATTAACTCAAGGGATTGGATTGCTATTAGTATTAGTCCTTTGATAATTAAGAGGGTGGTATAAAAGCCACACGTTCAGCACTAAATCACGAGTTGTCATGGTGATTTTTATCTAAACCTTCACTTTGTTCTTCCCCTCTATGTACCGGCCCGCTATATTTAATATTTAGTAACGTGGCGTATCTCGGAGCACGCTATTGTCAAAAATCTTTGATGGAACTCGGGCAACAGCTACGGCTTAATGATATAACGAGGACGAGAATGAAGTTTTTCATGTGAAGCAAAACAGATTTGATCTTAAACCGATGACGTAAATACCGTACGAAAAACGGGTATGAAAAAAGTCGAACTCACCCCCCGCGTCTCTCTCCAGCATTTATAGGTCTTATACTTTGACGTTCTTACCGCAATGGGTGGACGCGACCTTCCGATATGACCGAAAATATAGACGCGTAGGGAGACATACGTGGATTGCGGTCTGGTTATGAGTTGACCTACTCCACTTTGGTTCTACCTACGCGCTCCCTCTTTCCAGGGATGCTACCCCTTTTGGAAACTGTCTGGCGTCACGAGGACGCTTGCTCGAAAGTCACGATCTCCCGGTGTTCTATCTTATTATCTACAAAACGTTTTTTCTGATTATTCCAACTCGTTAATCCCCACCCGAAGAAATAATTAATATTAAAACTATTAATGATATTTAATTGCTATTGGATATTAAAACTTTAATATCCAATTAAAATTTGATATATCCAGGGATCTCAATATTTTTGGTCTGATTAATCTAGTATCCAATCTGATTTTAATCAATTACTTCAAAAACTCAAACTATGGGTGGTATAGTCTGTTCTTATTTTAAGATCGTCTTAAATAATGTCTTAAGATGCTAATGCAGCCCTCTGATTGGTTTATGATATCATAAGACTGTACTTAAGACATTCTGAAATATAAGAATCTCTCAACTATGAATACCGGTCTTCGTAACAAACTCAAACATGATTAGAAATATATGCTGCAAAAAATTTAGTAATATTCTTACGATCAACTTGAGTATCCTACATAAATGTCTGCGTTCAGCTGTTATAAAATTTTTCAATATGATCGGTTTATACATTTAGATAGATAAGGAACCAAAAGCAAGAACCAATTATATTGAAGAATTTTACAACAATTGCAAAGCTGCTTTTTCTGCTGAACGCAGCCATTGTTTTGATAATTCAACAAATCTATAGCTAGTTAAATTTTTACATAAGCTTCAGCAAAGCCTTCTTCTTTTCCGTATATGACATTTACTTCTATTCGTGAATGTATCATATCTCTGCAAAATATCGAAACAGGCACGTTCTACGTCGCAAATGTGCGTCATACGTGCGCTCTTATTCTTGAAGGAATTTATCCGAAGCACGATACATTGCCTTTATAGAAATTTAATACTGGAAGATAGTGATTAATTACTCATATTAAGTACTAACTCAAGCTGTTCAGTGCTTTTAATATTTAAAATAAATAGTTTTCTTCCTAATATTAAATTGAATGTTTGTAAGAGTGGATTATTTCTTATATTTGAATTCTTAATAAATAAAAAAATGTGAAATAAAATATTAACGACATTAATTTATGAATTTAGATTTAAGTTTCAGATCAACCTTGGAGAATCACCAATTCCGAATTCGTAATCGACGGGATTATGCGAAAGCACACAATTACTCGCTGTGGTATCGAATACATCAGAAGTCTTGTATGGTACATTCTTTAATAGAATACTTTTATTCAAACACGAGTGTTAACGAAATCGCTGTTAATAGATTAATCGCACGTGACGACGTGGTCACGCATGAAGCAAAACCGCAAAAACTCGGTAATGATATATATAATTATACGTATAACAATCGTATATAGATCATATACAACAAATTCTTGGTATATCTGTAATAAAATCTCACTAACGTAGTAGTATCTAAGGGATGTTTATGCGTTGTGCATACTAATTGCATCGCTTTCTTTTTTTCTTTTCTACGGAATAATGGAGAGTACCTCTGGTGCAGTTAAAACGCACGAGATGAGAAACGTGCATTTGCCCTCTCTTAGGCACGAATATACATAAGATACATATATATACATATATATATGTATACACATATATTCTGTTTTACAAAGACGCGACATAGATCAGGTTCGAATTAACAAACTTCATAATTAATACACGTGATATACATGTAAAATATATATATATATAAGGAGAGATAGAGCTCTCGATTTTACACGATTCAAGATCTAAAATCGTTCTCTCGCTGTAGAAGCCGCCGAGTTCTTCTCGCCAAAACCAAATGTTTACAGGAATGTCTCGGAAAAATAACGCTGTATTGAAGAGAAGTCCGAATAAATCGTCTCCGAATCAGAAACTCGTACAGTGATGAAAGTTTCACACCGATATGTAAAATACACGCGTTGTCGAGCGCGACGAAAAACACATTTATACAGTATACGTGTCTATAATTTAACGGCGGAACGTATTCTTTATGTCCTTTATGTCATATATTATAAAGCCGCGAGACACATGGAAAATTCGTAGCTCGTTAAAAAGATTTACGAGGATCAAGTGAGGCGATGTAAAAAAAACTCGGAGCGACGGAGGAAGCCAGTAAAGTTGAAATCGTGTTTGATATATATTGCCTTCTAATCCTAACGCACAGTTATATAAATATCTCTATGTCTGTGTGAGATAAGTATTACGTGTGCTCAACAATAGTACTTTAATATGACAACCTGCGGTCGGCCTGTCAGCTCGTTGAAACTTGAATTGAGCGACTCGCGTTCGCTTCGGACTCCTCGACAAATAATATATCCATGCATAATTATCGCGTATCAACGCTCTGGACAACGTTCGAGCAGAGAGGTGCATAATTCAAAACCCTTCAGCGTTTGTGATATCCGAGACATATCTTTATTCGTTATTTTCGTAAGACAAACATAAAGAAATAAAAAGTACACTGAAGCGTCAAGTAAGTTCAATGCATTTTATAACGTTCCTTTCTCTCTCTCTCTCTCTCTCTCTTTCTCTCTCTCTCTCCCTCTCTCTCTTTTTATCTTTCTCATTTAAAATACCAACGCTGGCGGAATACAACTACCAGCACAACCAATTATTGGGTCATAAACCACTACTCTTCATCAGCCAGCTCGCCTCTATCCTCCTCTTTTCCCCTCCGACCCCCCCAACTATGTGTATTATATATATTTTCAAATGGACACAATATGTACAACGGGGAACGAGAACGGCACCCGACGCGGATGCACCGAAGCAGTGCAAATCGAGCGAACTTGGGCAACAACCGTTCTCACGCAGTATACCAGCAACTGGACTATTTCTGCTCTTAATTTTTATGTGACGTAAAAGTTATATTACGTAAGAGAAAGATGCTATGACAGTAATAGCATCCTCACTCGTTCGTGTGTGATCTTTTGCACCAGCACGGTTCGGCCTATTGCGAATAAGTGGTATACAAATTCGAGAGAGTGCAATAACAATCAGTAATTGTGATAACTTATATTCCCAGTAGCGAATAAGATTTCAAAGACGTTGAGCAATGCGACTGACGAATAATATTTTGAATATGTATCTATAAATACGAAATCATGATTCGTTATTCGCGGGTACACATTTTGCTCAACGCTATTTTAAAGAGCAAGTTATAGAGCGAAAATCCCTTTACAAGCATAAAAATAAGAATGTAACCACGTGATAAACATAAACCGAGCATTACTTAGCGTCTTCTAATCATGATCTTAAAAAGAAGACGAAAAAAATAAATAAAATATAGAATAAATTTTTAACCAAGCGTCTTATCAGGTTTAAGCACACACCCGTAACGAGCAATCCTATTAATGTAGACCACTACCGTCCGTGTTTATAGCATTTATTATGAACATTCGAGTAACGCAACGTTTGGAGTCTGTGCCTGCGATCGAATGATGGTATATGACGGCAGAAGACAGGCTAAAAAAACTTGGGGGCGGTGGGGATACACTGAGGTATACAATAAGATAAAGGCTGTTCAGATTAGTTTTCCCAGCAAGTAGCCGACTATAACCATGGCGAAGGCGATGAGGATACTAGTTGATGTCGGAGATAACTGGCTATTGCTCTGCGAGGTTAGTCCTCTGGCTGCTGCAAGATTACCATCGTTGCCCAGCGCCGCATTTCGCCACTTCATTAAATCTTCCTGCAGACAAAACATACCAATATATTGAGATTTCTCAATATCGATTTTTTAAATTAAAATTTATGTTAACAATTTATTAAGTCATTCCTAGAATTTGTAGAAATACTGCAGGATTGTCAATTTAATATCTTCTGGGTAACTTAATATAAAAAATGTATTAAGACAAATATTCAGCTAATACAAATTCAAAACGCAACAAGTTTGATTTATACAAATCGATGAAACTATTGTAAAAGATACGTCTAAGTATACGTCTAAGAGTGCTGTCCACTTGACGCTACAAATGCTTCAAAACTTTTGATTGTCCAATCGGAAGAAACAATTTTACTAATTGACCAATCAAAAAATGAATTCGAAGCATTTGTAACATCAAGTGAACCGTAGCCTAGGTAAAAATTGATTTTTCGTAAATACTTGCCCTAAGTTGAAGATTTTCCTGCCTAAGCGTGCTTTCCTCTACCCTAAGCTGATTAACCTCTTGCGCAGCTTTTATAAGTTTCTCTTCTGCTTCACCAAGAACCTGGCGAGAGTCATAGGTTGAAGCCATAGCAAATGATTATTGTTGTTAATATACAACAATATACTTAATATCTTACCTTAGGCGACGATTTGACCGAATCGCCAACTGTTTTATTCTTTCCATTAGTTGCATTAGAATCCGCCTTAGTTGTTGTAGAAGTTGCAGTCATTTTAACCGTGCTACTAGTAGTGTTAATTACGGGATTTTCGAAAACGCATTTCAATTTAGAGTCCATTAACTGATCTGGATTTATATCCTTCCACTAAAAAAAAAACGATGTATATAATTATTATAAATCATTATTTAATTTTAAAATTAAAGAGAATTATTAAAATAGTAAGAAATATGTTTACTTTGTTTAATGACACATTTACTTTATATATTATAAATTTCAATATATAGTGTTATACACTCTTGCGACACTATCAATCTCACTATCAATATATTAACATTAATTAATATTATCATATTAAGTATTTAATATAGAATTATACTCTCTTACCACATCAGTTGGATATTCATCATCATCATCATCTGGTGCTACCACAGTTTGCACCATAAATTTGTGTTTATTTTTCTCCGATGGATCAAAATCATATGGTTGTAAGCATACTGTAAGAAAACATGATATTCAACCATAAAAGAACCTTTTCTAAATTTAAATTATATTATCTAAGAAATACATACAAAAATTATGGAACTTTAAGTATACAAAATAAAATTTATAATTTTAATTTCGATGCTGTAGACTAACCTGCTATTTCAGTGACATCCTTTGGCTTGAGAGCACCAGAATTTGGACGTACACAGTATCTCTTTGGGGCAGTAGTCTTTATTTTAAAATATACCTTTCTATTCGTTGGATTAATTAATTTTATATATGATGTGACTGGGCCTCCTGTAAAAGGACCTGCAACAAGATAAATAATAAAATAAATTTACATTCATTTCCAATGATAAAATAGCTAAATTTATGCGCAAATTCAATGTCGAACAGGTATTTATTTTTTGTTGCAATTAATAAAGTAGAGATCGTAAAGACAGTAAAAAAGGAAAACTATTTCTGGAGAAATACAGGTACAAAGTATAAAGATTGGCTGCGTTCAGCAGAAAAGACAGCTTTGCTACTATGATAACAATTTCTAATTGAAAATGCACGAGATAGAAAATTCTGATCATATCAATCAGAATTCTGGTTATCTCAACTATAATTGATTTTAGAATTATAATTGATTTAACCAGAAAAATCTGTTTTATCCATTTTAAACCAAATTTTCTATTAATGCAACCAGATTTTTTACTGTAAGATTTTTATATGTGATTGAATAATATATTTAAATCCAGAAAGAGAACTAATGGCAGGACTAAATACACATTAAAAAATCTTACAACATAGTTGCAAAATTGCTTTTTCTAAACGCAGCCAATATAAATATTAATACTTAATGAATATGTAATTATTTGACCCAGTTTTACTTTTTTATGAGCTACCAATATATCCAGTTAGCTACCACAAATTAACAAAATCGTTCTCATATGTTATTACAGTACCAAAGAGAACTACTAGGTTTACGTTTCTTCAAAGTATTAGATTGAATCAAGATCCATCATCTTGATTAGTTGCTAGTCATTCAGTTATTAGTCATCGTTTTTATTAGATAACGTTCAAATTCCTTTTGCAAAAGCGATACGTAAAGCAAAAAAATTGTAAATCAATTCCTATCGCATAGATTATGTAAAAGTTAGCTTTTACTAATTATAATTACATATTACAAATAAATTATCGCTGAATTATTATTTAAAGTAAAAAAAAATGTAAATGCAAATTCAATTTCTTACATATAGATATATCGTTTATTTGCTACAACAATGGAATTAAAAAAAACAAAGTTATTCAGAAAATAAGTTTGAATATTTTAAATCATTAAAATCTTGTAATATTAATTTCAAAATGCAATTTTGATGTAATAACTGATTATAGAAGAATAAAAGTATATAATTTTAAAATGCATAGTTTTCTTTCTTTTCTTTCATATGTTCCCCCTTTTTTACAAACATTTAAAAACAATTAAATTTTTACAAACAATTAAAAAATAACAATGTTTCAATTATATCGTTGTAACAAATGAGCGATATATAGGTTATATGATTCATTTTAATCTTAACAAGCAAAAATATACAATTTTACCAAAAGTAGTAATTAGAATGATTTTTATATAACTTTTTTATTGGGAATTTTTCTTATAAAATTGTATATTTGCGAAATATTTGTCTGTTAAGATAAATGAATCACTCTGTGTAAAAAAAGAAACATGTGTAACAGATCTGTATACATATGTGACAGAAAGGAGTAGACGGAATAATCAAAATAATGAATCACTGTATAGAAAAAGAAACACGTACAACAGATATGTAGCAGAGAGGAGTAAACGGAATAATCAGCTGGCGGATTGCGGGATTGTTTTCGAATGCGTTTCGTTCCCGATAACGAGAGATCATCGTGCTCGCCGAAACGGCGATACGCCGTGGATGTCTCAAGTGTTTGTGCTCGCCGAATGTAATACGTACGACACGCGACACCGGTCATAGTCGAAGGACGTCACATTACTCGATTTGAGCATAATTAATGAATCTTATTTTCCATCGATAAGAGCAAGACAGCGAAGCGCCGAACGAACGCAACAACGTAAACAATCGCAGCCGCTTGGCGATATTACGTCTCTGAGGTGTTAAATAGAGCCCCATACTACGTGGGCGTGAATTACGAATGAACAATATGCAAACATATATATATATATATATATATAATCTATTTTGTTTTATGAAATTAGTTCTGCAATGTAATTCTCTAAAGCACTCCTCCAAAATTCTAAAAAGAACCCCGCGTGCGCGCGTAGGTGGACGAAACGTAGGGGAGAGACCAGAGTTCAACGTTCTCGCAAGAAAATCCGAGCGGACCTTCCATTACGGGGAGAGAGAGAGAGAGAGAGAAACGGAGAAGAGGAGAGAACAATATGAAAATGGTAAAAATTCCCGAACGGCATTATTCGGAAGCTAGGCGATCTACCGCCGGCCTCCTATCGCGAGGCATAAATAAACGAAGCTCTTATGGATTACTGGCGTATAGCGGCTAAGTGGAGCAGCGAGTATAAATTCAATAAATGGTTTTTCCTCGTATCGGCGATTAGCGATCGGCGACGGGCATTGAGAGTATAACGGCAGAGGCGATCGATGGGCAGCCGCACATCACGTTTCGCGAAAGACCGGGAAATCGACCGATCTCGCCGTCTCCCTTTTCCGTTTCTCGTCAACGGGGAGAGAAAAAAAAAAGCAGCTGCGGAAACGCGGAAATGGCCAGAGGGCGCGAGAGCCATCGGCCTCGTCGTCGTCACCTGCCCGTTCGTTTCGTTCCCTCGTCTCGGGGGGGAAATTCGCCCCCGTCAAGACGCGGCAGAGAATCGAGACGGACGGACCAGGATCGTCGGCGTCGCGGTCGTCGCGGCGCCGCGACGGCGGATCACGATGGATGACAAGCGGATCGACACACGGGGGACAGATGGGGTTAGGTACGGACTCGGCGACGTCGCACACGCTCGCCGAGGCACGGCCGCGACCTCGGTGCGCCTCGTTACATGCGGCACGACGCGACAATCGTCGGGCTAGCTAAGCGTGCCGCGTCGTGCCGTGTGGATGAGACGAGGAGGAACGTAAGCGGCCGCGCGGGCGGTCGAGACGGCCTTACGTCATCTTGACGACGTAGCTCCGACGTAGCTCCGTCGTGCCGAGCTTCTCGTCGCGAACGGTCCGCGAATGTCGCGAGCGACGGATTCGTTGTACTCGCTCGACGTTCAACGCGTTTAAGCTCGCGACAAGGAACACGGCGAGGAAGAAATGTAAAAATTGAGAGGGAAGAGATACTACACGACCATCTTTTGATCTGAAATTTCGTTTCACAGCGTACCCCTGAATCGGAGCTCGTTCTGCGGCTCGATAATTAAAACCTGCTCGGGCTTGTCGGATCTCGACGACATCCTGACTGCGGACCAAGACGAACTTCCCGACGGACGAGTCACGGCTTTGTTGCTGTCTTCCACCACCTCCTCCTCCTCCGCCGCCACCTCCGTCTTTTCGTCTTCTTCTCTTCCTCCTCCTCCTCCTCCTCCGCCGCCGCCGCCGCCGTCTGCTGAAGCGCTAACGGGTGGTCGACGACGCGTTGGGCCCCGCGTATTGACAAGTTGCCTGGTGCTCTATCTCGTCGCGATTCCTCCGCGTCAGCCGTATACAACGTCGGTGTTGTCCCGTTTCCCGTGCCGTATCTTTACCGAGATTCCGTTGGACTGATTCCGATTCGCGGCTGGCCAACGATGCGCATGCGCCCACGACGAGGGAACTGTGTGCGTCTGCGAAGTGCGAAGTGTAGAGGCCGCGTTACGTCACGCCGCCGCGCCACCGGTAAACCGGTCCGTTCGTTTTTCTCTCACGGTTCTCTCGTGGCTGCACCTACACTGTACTTCCTGTACTTGTTTCAACTCTAATTTTTCTTTGAATTCTTTATTTATTTTGTCAGAACTTTCATGTAAATTTCAGAATTTTTTTTCAGAATTTCTCTCTAATATAAATAATAATTTTTTTCAAAATTTCTATAATATGATGGATAATAATTGTGTCTGTCATTTGAGTAACTATATTCTACTTTATTACTTGAACTCTGATAAAATTTTTTCTTTGAATTCTTTATACAATTTTGGAACTTTTATGTAGAATTAAATTTCAGAATATTTTAGAATTTCTGTGATGTAGATATTATAGATAACTATATGTATAATAACTATGTAAGCGTATTTTGTAACTGTATAAAATTATAATATAAAATATTTTAAATTTATTTTCATTGAAAATTCTTACGTTTTTTTATGTGAATTTTTCATTCCGTAATTTCTCCATATAACACAGAACATATTGTCTTTAGGACGTCCCTTGGAGATCTCATCTATACCACCGACGAGATATTATTAAAGACCGTCAACCCTGGGGAAATTTTCGGCGGTATAAAAAGGGCCCCAAGGGCTCGAAGATAATCGAAAAACGCTGACATTATCGACAATTGATATAAATTTGCTATTATTAACATAAATATTTGACTAATACATTATTAAATTCATGATATTTTATTACATAAATGCTCTATAAATAAATATGCATATTTGTAAAACGATAATATCCTATATATTGCCGAAAAATTACAATTTTTTTCTCTGCAGTTATTATCTCTGTTGACAATCGAACTTTGACGATAACACTGAAATCACAATTTTAAAGAAAAATCGAGTATTATTGAGTTTTAAATGCACGTACACCGATAAACACGTCTACTGAATTAATAAATCATAAAATTAGTACAATATTATTTTTTTACTCTTAATCGCTTCAATATTAACAAGGAACGAACTCCCATAAGGATGTCGGTCTTTAATAATATCTCGTCGGTGTCTATACTGAACGGTTGCTGAAGAAAATTAAAAAATTTTTTAAAAGGTGCTTCTATTAATCATCATGAATATCGAATTACTTATCAATTTAATTTATGATGTTACTGTATTCCAGTTTAGGACTGCGTTTATCAAGATCAAAATCAATAATTATTAAATAATCGACGCGCAGTTTGCTTGAACTGGAAAATATTATAAATAAATAAAAAGGAGTGTAAAAAAGATATTACGTTCTAATATGTTTATCTTTCTCACTCTCTTTTTTTTCTCCCTTCTTTCTCGCTCCAAAAGTCATGAATTATTGCGTCTCCGACTACTCCAATTTCTTTGGGCTTTTGCTGACGCGCTTGTAATTTTTTATTATGCTCTGCATAATTAATTTTTTTCGTCCGAGCTTATATCATTTTTTTTATGCACTCACGTTCTCTTTCGAGTTAATTTTCCTATCGTTCTCTTCCCTATAAGCGCAAAATGTTCCTAGAATGTTACATGAATATTATTAAAAAAATTAAAATAATGTTATAATATTTCGAAAATATCATAAATATTTTTTTAATATTACAGGAGTATTCTATAGAGGTTATATGTC